AGCAGTGCCTTTATCTTTACAAAAGCATATCTTTCACATTTTTTTTTTGCAGTGAAGTTGGCTAACCAATACATAATAAGGACGTTCATTGGTAACAGCAGTCAGCGTGCACCACACCCTGGCAGAATGAGGGTCGAAAAGTCCTGCACAATTTCAGGCACAGTTCTTTTCATTTTCTGGTCATACCAAAGCAGAGAATCATTACCTAAACATGAATTAATTTAGCGGCATTATTGCTTCCTTTGGAGCGGGCGAGGGAGGGGGGTGGAGTCCCCTAGAGAAAACTTTATGCCACGCTAGTGTAGAAGTGGCTGAAGTGTTAAGGGACCCCTTAGAGTCTTCAGCTACTTCAAGCCGCCTACTCTGGTAACTCAATGGGCAGTTGTATGGCTAGGTCCTCTCTGCTAAGATACCTCAGTAGACCTTATCTGTGGCACTTATGTGTATCTGTTAACCGGTTTCCCTTTGGTCTGTAATGGGCTGTGATCACAGTTGTCAGCTTGGGATCTGTTCTGTCCATCCTGCATGTCTGCATACTTTCATTGCTGCTGGCTACATGACTGTTAACAACTGTATGATGAGTGCTACGTTCTGTAAATGCATATGCAGATGCACAGCAAACAGGTCTCTGTCAACAATAATACCTCTTTACAGTACTGAACTTTGCTCCGCAGTGAGCTTTTGGCGACACCTAGTGGTAACTGTGGTGAGGGAAACATTACCGGAGCCCCAGCTCCAATCAAACGTAGCCATTCCTCTCCAAGTTTTTATACGGAAGACATCGGAACTTTTATAATGTTAAAAATGTTTTATTTCTCTTTCTTTGTTGTTCATCATGTCCATGTTTAGATGTTTAGTGTGTATGCTTTTCTACTTCCGTTATATTCTTTATATAAGCATGCCAATTCCAACACAAAAGTAACACCTTTGTTTGTCGTTGTTAATGAGCGTCCAAGGATTTTTCATTACAAAGAAATAAAAAACACAAAATCAGTTCTCAAATTTCAGTATTGTAGGCGGGCATGCGGGTATAGAGTGTCTATAATTGTATTAAAGGATAAAAACCGATGGTACTTTGTCTTTCATCAGCCCTTAATTAAAGTAAAGCACTAAAACTTACACAGTACATTTTGTATTAAATTTAATAAAGCACAGCTCACTGTGTAAAGCGTTTTTTTCCAATAAAGGTTTTTTAGTTCAGATCATCCTCACATATTCCACAGTCTCAAGGCCGTCTCTCATTCTTGCTACTTAGAACACAAACAAAATATTATAACAGTAATAATGTAACAATGCTTCACACACTTTCTCAGCGTTTTAGAAAACAAAAAACAAAGTCTTCATTCAGTTAAGTATTTCAAGTGAGGGGAAGTTTAATCAGAAAGTAGCAACCAAGCATTCTTAGAGCGACAGCATAACAATGATCCCACCCGTTCTGATAGCCAGTGCTGCAGTGGTGTGGAAATATTGGCCAATACCAATAGCAGAAATATTTTGGTCTAATATTACTGATAATCAATGCAGATAAAGGGCTATCATCTGAGCTTCACAAGACACTGACAAGCACCTGAAAGACTGAGGCTTCAGTAAAATCTATTGTTTTGGATATAAGACTTGTGGGTGTGTATCTGTTGCGTGTTAAAATTTACATTGAGTTTTATTTTAAGTCTTGAGGTTAGTGTCCTCTAAATCTTCACCTTCAAAGTAGTTGTAATTTACCACAGACATTTCCTACATGAGCAAACGACACGCTAAAACGAGCTGGTAGAAAGGTCACAGTTTATTGAATGATCACCTGAACTGTTGACAGAAACAGCGATCGACCTTGTTGGGGGCTGGGGTTCGTACACAGGCATGCTGCATGACGGCACAGTCACAGCTGTGACACACTTCCACAGACCCCACTGGCTGTTCGGGGACAAGCCAGTGAGGGGAGGCAGGTCAGCGACCATTTCAGTCAAAGGAGTGTTTCTAGGTGAGCAATCAAGTAAAAGAGACACAACTTCTGTGTAACTGTTATCAGTAATGTCCCATCCCATTGGTCCACACAGAGATTTATCAAAACATGTGCAGTGCCAGTCAAAAGATTGGACACCCACCCATAGAAAGGTTTGTTTGTACTACTCTCTACATTTTAGAATAAACACAGACATCAAACCTACAAAATAAGATTATGCACTGAACAAAGAAGTATTAAATTTTTTTTATTAAATTGTTGTGGGGGGGGGGCAGCTCTGTGGGTTGGGTAGGGACTGGCTGCTGACCCTACTGTCCCCTCTACACCAGCTTCATGAGGTGGCCTCCTGGGATGCGTTTCCATTGGTCCTGGAGGAGGTCCGACATACTCTGATGCTGAGCTCTCATTGGCTGCTTTTCCTTCACTCTCTGGTCAGACTCCTCATCAACCATCTCTGCTGTGTTTAGGTCAGGTGGCCAGGTCATGTGATGCGACACTATCGCTCTCCTTTGTAGGTGGCGTGGCGCTTCCAGACTATTGATTGCCACTGTAAATGAAAAGATGATGACGAATGGCTTTGGGTGCATTAAATCTTCATGTGATTTTCACATTTAAAGGGATTTGTTGAATTGTAGTGTATTTTCATCATTAACAGCTCTCTTCAAGTGAGTTTTTGGTAAATAGCGTTGTTTGCTTTTAATAAATTTTATTAAATTATTAAATTAATGTAAAAAAAAAATACCTGAAAGCTCCCAAGTGCTGATGTTTGGCTCCCCCTAGTGGTGGATATTCACAAGTGCCCTTGAATGGTGGAATATTGCAATTTTAAAAATGTATTTTATTGCAATATTTACACACAATTACTTGACCAAAGTTACTTCTCGTAGGGAGCCATCAGGTTCTTCATTTTTGCTCAAGTCGGTCTCTCTCCTCTTAGCCAGTTACCAGAGATTTGTAATAACAGGAAGTCTTAAAGTTAAAATGACATAATATTGTATTTTAGAGCTTTCCTCTTTTTTGTTTTTTAGGTAATTTTCGAAATAATTCGAAATTAATTACAGTGCCTTTGATTTTTTCCGCTCTTTCCAGAGTGTATTATGGATTCTTAGAGGTTTTATAATGATGTGTATAGTAACCGTTTCACTAACATTTGGGGAATGTGAACATTCACACACAACATCTACTCAGAAAGAAAGAGAGAGAGAGGAGGGGAAGGAGGCAGGCATGGGGATGTCTAAATTTGGCTGGGGGGTGTTTAGGTTGCATAGTTAACTCCCAGGCACAGGGAGCTCAGGCGGGCAGTGAGGAGGGGGGAGGGCAGGCACACCGGACCGCCAGCCTATTACGGTGCCCGGCCCCAGGCTGGCATGAGATTTGCCCTTCTAGAAGCGGAGACTGTCTTGCAGCTCGTCATGACCTATGGTGACCTGAGGGGGTCACTGTCACTGGATGACAGACATTTAATCTATTTTATGGCCAGTAAAAGCAGAAAACATTTCCCATAGAACATATATGATCACATGTCACATGATTATTGTCAGCTAACTCGCAAGTCCCAGCTGAAAGGTGGGAGTAGTGTTTGAAAATGGAAGCTGCTTAGATAAAATCTCATACTGGCGGGTGACCTGGTGGTCAAGGCAGAGAGAAGGGATGCTGTAGAGGCGACCCACCCCCGCGGTCAGCTCCCGACCCAGGACACCCGCGGTCAGCTCCCGACCCAGGACCCTCACGGTCTGCTCCTGACCCAGGACCCCTACGGTCAGCTCCTGACCCAGGACCCCCGCGGTCTGCTCCTGACCCAGGACCCTCGCGGTCAGCTCCCGACCCAGGACCCTCGCGATCAGCTCCTGACCCAGGACCCTCGCGGTCAGCTCCCGACCCAGGACCCCCGCGGTCTGCTCCCGACCCAGGACCCCCGCGGTCTGCTCCCGACCCAGGACGCCCGCGGTCAGCTCCCGACCCAGGACCCTCGCGGTCTGCTCCCGACCCAGGACCCCCGCGGTCTGCTCCCGACCCAGGACCCTCGCGGTCAGCTCCCGACCCAGGACCCCCGCGGTCAGCTCCCGACCCAGGACCCCCGCGGTC